GATAGCAGATGCTGAAATCCAAGTTGACTTTCTGGATCATCTCCAGCTCCTCGACTACATCTTCCCCGAAGTGGAACTTGGATGTCAGGCGGATGTTGCGTATGCCTGAAGAAATCAGATTAACGGCAGGACTTTCCACGTTATCATCGAGAGGAACGAAAGTGTTCTTAGCATAAATCTCTCCAAGATGGGCAGTGACTGTGTCGCGGGGCCGATCAGGTCTCACGACACCAGGAAAGACCAAGATTGGAGTCTTGACAACGACATCAAATCGCATCTTAGATGCGTTCTCTTGCAGCTGGTTAGCTTGATTAGCTGCGGCCTGGCGGGCAGCATTAAAGATAGCCTGCATTTTGCCGAACTTGACAAGGAAATTGATGATCTTGCGGTATGGCTCTTCCAGAAAATTGATTTTGATAGAGCCCGATCTCAGATAGACCTCAGAGTCGTAACCGGGATAATTTGTGCTCTCAGGGTCGAAGGTTTCATATTTAAAATCAGCGAAGTTATCACCCTCAATGGTCAAAAGCCTCCGAAGGTCGGAGCTTGCTGAGGCGCCGGTATTGACATCGTCAACGAGGGTTAAACTACCGATTCGAGACTGTATCAGCATTGAGCGGCCAACAAGATTAATCCCCACGTCTGCAGTGTTGAGACTCAACGTAGCAAGTCTGACGCCGTCATTGTTTAGGATGAGAGCGATACTCTTCAGGTCAGCTTTAATCCGAATCTTCCCTGGCTGTTCGGTGTCCTGGGTGAGAGAAGTTGTGTCCTGGACGGTCGGGTCGGACGACAGTTTCTGGGTTTGGGGCTGCTCTGGGTTTGTGAAGGTGAGGAGCACGAAATCCAGCAAAGTGAGAAGTGTCTTCCTGGTGACAACAAGGTTTATGGTAGATATGGACATATCAAGGTTCATTGCTACACCTTCGTAGGTAGACTGAAACTCGGGTGACTCTGGCTTGACTCGAACAAATTTGAGGTGGAAGAGGTCCTTATCTTCGTCTGCGTCGAATCCCTTGGAAGAAATGATCCTCTTGAAGTCAGGAATGGGGGCTTCCTCAATATGGTCGTCCACACTGAGAGATTGCAGAACGATCTCTGCTACCATATCGAATGGTCGCATGTAATAGTCTAATTCGAAACCCTCAGCAACAAGCTCAACCAACAATTGGTCTCGAAACTGGTCATTGGGATGCGAGCGGAACAGTGAGCCACGAAGACAGCCAACCGTGAACTTGAATTCAAAATCTTTGCGGTGAATGTTAGGCAGTCTATCGACACTCTTCTTTGTCTGGTCATGATCTGTCTCAGTATCGGAGTCTTCGTCAACAACGGGGAGTTCCCTTGGTACTGAGGGCTGGAAGGAAGCCGATCTTGCTCTATTTCCTACTGTTGTCGATTCACTCGAGGTCTTTGCAGGCGAACGGTCAGAAACACCTTCGTCAAATCGTGGAATCGCGATGTCGATCAATTTCATCAGACCCTTGTATTTTGTGTCAGACATCGAAGCGTGTAACTCCGGCAGATGACCTGATATCCGAGTCCTGGTGAGCTCGGTGCTCTTCGGTACTATACACAATTCCAAGACAAAGTCCACGTTTATACGATCGATAATGTGAAGGTTTCGGGTCTTGACGTCGGGCGCGAGCTGCGATTTAGTGATCTCGATTTCAGGGCCAATCAAAACCTGGGTGGAGTCAAGCTTAAGCAGAAATCTATCGTACAGCAAATGCTCAAGTTCCTTGTAATCGTTTTCATCATATTGACGCTTCTGCTTGGCCTGGAGGTCTTTCATGGTCTGCCTATCGACCAGCTCACTATTGACGCTGATGTGGCCTGCATCCAGGATGAGACAGAGGGAGCTTTCCTGTGTAATGCTTTCTGGCACGATAATGAGAGGTGCGTGTATGTCGAATTGAGCATCAACCTTCCTGTGCTCCTCCAGCGCAAACTCCAAGCCAGCTCGAGTTTGCTGACGGATTTCCTCGACGGTTGCCCCTGCCGAGTCCAAGAGGGCACCAATGGACTCCATGTGTCGTTCAGGGGGCTCAAAGAATTTGACGATCTCCACAAGGAACCTCGGGTTATAGATGACCTCGATACTCTTCATCTTGACTTTCACGACTGAGTCGGCGTCGCTCTCCAGAGGATTCTTCTCAAGCTGGAAATGAAAGAGGTTATCCTCATCCTCCTCGTAGTCATTGTTGGCCTCCGATTGCAACCCATCACCGTCAGGGGGCTGCGGTTGACTATCCTCCGACTGTGGAAGAGAATCCTTAACCTTGACGATCTGTGGAAAGAGACTACCTTCGGTTGTTCCGTCATACACTCTGAGCCCACCTAGGTCAACTTTGATGAAGAAGGAATCCGGGCGCTGCAATGCTTTCGCTCGTAGATTGTCAAACACCAGTTTCATGACTTCACTACACTTCCCGTGGGGATCACGCCTCAATGTGAAACTTCCGGCTCTGAGACCGGAGTTGACCTGAAGCTTTACCCACTCTCTTGGCACCTCAACACTCTCGGAGATTGCTTTCTTCTCATCCCAGTCAATGGCATTATAGAGCTCCTGCCGTTGCTCCTCGGTCATTGCGGTCTCTTCAGACTCTTCCTTCTTGGCGCCCCATATCCACTCCGACCAAGTTTGTTGTCGTGCGGGCTTCTTGAGGCCAATATTCTCCTTCCGCAGTTGATTTCTCGCCAATGACCTCCAGAATCGAATATCCTCGTAGCTGAGCTTTCGCTGTAGACGTTCGAAATCCTCTGCCTCCTGCGGAGACAAGGGTTCGTCCCGCTTTTTCTTCTTGAACAGATTAATATAGGCTATACGGTCATCCCTTCGCTCTTTGATATAATCCCACGACCAGCGCCTGTTTCGATCGTGGATTTTGCTGAGAATCGCTTCTCCGGCGAATCTAAACCATGCCCGGGGGTCTTCTTTCGGTCTCGATTTCGGCTGGAGCTTCTTGTATTCCTGATGACGAAGGAAGTAATGAAAAAGATCGACGAGCATTAGGGCATCGCGATATTGATCGTCGTCCAGAACGAAACTAAGCTCGTCGAACAGTAACCGTGTCTTGACGGCTGGCCGGTCATGCTTCCCCGACTTATCCAACTCCAAACCAGCACGTCCACTGACGGGGCGAAGCATAAACTGATTGCTCTCTTCACTCTCAATGCCAGTTCTTAGTTTTTCAATCAGCTCCGCATGACTGATTCCTTGTGCTTCTGCGCCCAGGTCGGAGCCTCGTCCTGTGCCCAGAAGCTCGGCATCAGTGTTCCAATATACCGATAGAGCACCCAGTGTTGCCAGTTTGTGGGTGGTAGCGGAGGTCGACTGGATGAAAGTAGGGTTCCATTCGGAGTCAGTGCTCACAGCGCTGAGTTCCTTCAGGGTCAGACCGACGGCGAAAGGGTGACCTGGTGAAGCAATCGAGTCCTCATATCGAAAGTGCACGTTCTTGATGGATATTTGGAGATTGTCGACAACGGCGGTGACGAGGCTCTGGGTGAAGCTCTGGTTCCGTCGCTGCTCCTCCTGGCTCATGCCCTCTGAATTCCGCTCTCGCAAAATTTCCGCACTCTCAATTTTTTCCATCTTGAGGTTATAAGCTCGTCGTTCCTCTTCCTCCGGATCATAGTCCGCATCTTCCTTCGGAGCTGCGAGGAGAAACACATCTTCGATAACAACTTTGACCGGTTTCCCCCTCAAATTAGACCAAGGTATGGACAGGGTGAGCTCACCGAGGTGACCTTCGACGACATTCAAGGGAAGATGTAGTTGATCAAGAGCCTCCCGTCGCAGCTCGAGGTTGCGAAGCTTGACATCGCCGGACCAGATACCGATGTTCAATTGTTTTGCATCGAAATTCTTGACATAATAGCCCAAAAAGCGATTGAGCAGGTTTGCGACCAAGCCTTCCAACATGACTGCGGGTTGCGACCGTGACCCAGGTCGGGACAGGGAAGGTCAGAGGTTGCTGTGGGATGATAATAACCGCTCGTACCTAGTGATGACGGCGTAGAAAGATGAGTTACATATTTATGTGAAAGAGATGATGGATGGTGGAGATATGGTATGCTTGGGGAATAAGTTCGCAGGAAATGACATACCTGCGCGAGCCCTAGATACACTCGCAAGTAACGATAGCCTTAGCCATCCAGGTGGTTGGCTAAATGCGCATTCAAGATTGATGCGGGCCAACTAGTTCAAGAAGAAAGTCTATTTAAGTTCCCAAACCGTATGATGTCGTGAATAACGGGGTGAGAATGAAAGCAAGCTGCCAGAAAGGTAGGTCGTGTGTCCACTTGACAGGAAACTTGGATGAGATAATGGTGGGCAAGGCCGTAGATAGTTGGGTATCAAAGCAAGCTGATTACCCAATTGCGTCGTAAAGAAGATGGATGGCTCTCCTGTACCTGGGGAGACATGTGTTGGCCGACTGATTAGGGGGGGCGTACCAACAGTGGTTGAACAGCCGTGACGCGGCGGATCTCGAGCAGCCAACCTTAAGGTAGGAGAAGAAAGTGACGTCGGTCCTTTCCCTTGAGACTTTGTTCTGACTGGATCTAGTTAGATGCCTAGGGCTGCAACCCTGCAGCTGCGCTGACTAAGCCACGTGACGTCGGAGCATCCCGCTATGGTAGCGTCTGTTCGATCCGAGGTCACTGAACAGTTGATGCCTGAGGCAACAATTTCCAATGACAGCTACGGGATTGGTCTGTGTTGTGCACCGGAGCCAGACATTACCGCACCTCATCGTTATATCACCTCATTCCTGGCCCTCAGGATTGACTGCTTCCACGACCACAAAATCTCCACTCTTACGAGTTCAACTCGGTAAATCATCAGGTAAACAGCCCTGCCTCTGCCTTTCGGGCTATTTTGTAGCACTTTCCAGCCTCAATTGGGTTCTGTGCCGGCTATATCCCGCCTATCCGAGCTTTCCAGACCTCATCACTAACCAAACATCTGAAAAAATTAGCTACCCCAGTCAACCATGCTCTACAGAAACTCGGTTGCCCGCTCTGTCCTCAGGGCTATTTCTAGCTCCAATGCTTCGGTCGCCCGCTCGACTCTCTCCAACAATGTGTTGAAGGCTCACCTGACGTCCTCCGCTCGTTTTCCCGCTCGCCCAACCTCGTCCAGCTTGGCCCTGGCTACCCGCAAGCCCGTCACCACTGCGCTTGTCCGCTATGCCTCCAGCGTTCCCAAGGTCAGTGCTGCTCATGTCGTGGGTTTTGGTCAATTGCTGATGTTTGTTTGCAGGACGACAAGGTTGCCGAGGAGGACACTGACGTGATGGCGGGTATCAAGTCCGAGGCGGTAAGTCCGTTTTTTTGACATACTTCCGGACAGGCATTTATGACGGGAGCCTGCCATGCCTACGGGTTATGCATGGGATATATTACTAAAAACTGGCGTTTGACGACCTTCAGAAAGTCATCAAGGACACTTTCAGCCTTGACGGAACCCCCAAGGAGGCTCTCTATCTCGGAATGGCTGGTGTCATCCCCTACCTCGCTACTTCCCTCGAGACTGTCTACCTTTCCTACGAGATCAACCGCGCTACTGCCACCGGCGATGGCCTCATCTTCTCCGGCCAGACTGCTGAGCTGATGCTTCACATGCTCGAGCCTATCCAGGTCGGCTACGGTGCTGTGGTGAGTTTGAATTTGTCTGGCTGTGCAAGCTCCCTATCTGACGCGAAGCGATCCTCAAGATCCTGTCTTTCCTTGGAGCTATTCACTGGGGTCTCGAATGGGCCGGATACGGTGGCAAGTTCGGTTACAAGCGCTACGCTGCCGGTGTCATCGCCCCTGCCGTTGCCTGGCCCACTCTGCTCCTTCCCGTCGAATATGCTTTGATCAGCCAGTTCTTCGCCTTCACCTTCCTGTACTACAACGACGCCCGCGCTGCTGCCTACGGCCGTGCTCCTCACTGGTACGGCATGTACCGCTTCGTCCTGACCTTCGTTGTCGGGGCCAGCATTGTCGCCAGCTTGATCGGCCGTGAGCAGATCGCCAACACCATCAGCTCGGAGCACACGATCACCGACAAGATCAACGCTCTGCTCTTCCTGCAGAAGAAGGAGAGGGAGGAGGCTAATGCTCGCCGCCGCGCCGAGCTCGGCGAGGAGTCTGAGTAAATGACGGACTTGCCGGATACTTGTGATACTCTGCATTTTGAGATGCTCATAGAAATTGATACGACCTTTGAGGGTGGAGGGGGAAATCAGGGGTTGGAGGGGATATCCCGGGCTGCCTGTGGCAGCCCAATGTGACAGTAGGGAAGACGTCGCATTGTTTTGATCGAGTTTTAGTAGATTACATGCGAATTCAACGACCTGGCGGACGCTGGTGCTTTCTTTTGTTTGAACTTCGATTGGATTCTGTAGAGAGTAGGTCTAGGCTTATTCTCTCGAAAATTGCTCGATTCAGCTGAAGAGGGGTAACATCAACGTAGATGGTTTAGTCTGAAGAATTTAACCCGAGTCCATTTGATTGGTTCAATTAGATCTAAAGATACAGAGCACAATTACCAGAAGAGATAGGAAAAGGTAGAGACTAAGGTAGAAATGAGTAGGGACATGCTGCGTGATCAGTCAAAAGCCTTGATGACGAGTTGCAGTTAATGGACTATCTATCTAGAGTTCTGTGGAAGCCTTGGAACAGAAACCCTGAAATACTCCATAGTCCTAGTGCTGGGCTGCGAGGGGCGAAGTGTCAATCATTCTACGTTGGCAAGTTGGCATACAGGAAATCAGGCATACTCCCAAAGTCCAAAGCTCAGTGCGGAAGGTATGTCGGACTCGGCCCGCTTAAGGGAGAACAACGATTCCGTCCCGTGAGTGCCTGACTGCCTGTAGGTCCCGTACTACCGTCCGTTTTGGCCAACTAGGCCGAACTGTGCATCTGCCGCTACTACAGTGCCAGTGCCAGTGCCAGCATTCCTTTTCTTTTTCTTTTCGTTTTGTCTATTTTTTCTTGCTTCTTTGAGACTTGTTCTTGCATTCTGTTTTGACTCGAGGATCACGAGGATATTCTTGATAGACAGCGATTGAGGGATGATCTACCCTTGCAGCGTCAATAGTCAATTTGCTTGCGCAATGATCCAAAGGTAAAACAGTTTGTTTCTTGGTACTCCGTATTGGGTGCAGAATAACGAAGGGTAAGCAGGGTTAAGTGTGGCCAAAGACGTCACAATCGTCCTCAAAGTTTGGGCCATAACTACTGTCTATCTACTGGTAGTACTCCGTACCAACGTAATAGAAGAGGGGCACTTATCAACCTCTTCTGTTTAGTCATATCCATGGCTAGATAGATAGATGCCTGACCCTCGTTCAAATGCTTTGTGTCCAAGCCAAATCTTCCGGCTCTACGGAGTATATAGAGATTCTGTCCTGAGACCAGGACTAAAATAGCCGAACCGGGTATCCGGATTTGACAATAATTTCTCCATAAATCACAGCGCTAGACGGGCTGCCACTGTGCCAGAAGTTAGAACCGTTCCTAGACCCTTCGCCGCCCGGGATATCTCCCTAGCTTATTTGGATCTTCTCTGTGCACTAGAAGCAATCTAGATTCTACAACAGGGGATAGATGCCGATGTACGGAAAAGAGCATGTCCAATTGGAGGGTTGCCATACCGTGTACTTGACTTTACAGACCGAACAGCAAGAAATTAATAATTGAATGGTGGGGTCTAGATCATAATACTAGAGTCGGACGAGAAGAAAATTGAACATTGTCATGTGGCACATCATACATGTGCTTGATCGACAATTTATCTGAATGATGATAGCGGAGGACGAACAGGAGGGCCCCTCTCTGGTCCTGATCTCGGTGCAGGTTTTATGATCTGCTTCGGAGTAAGGAAGTAAAGGGATGAGTTCCAGAAGGCTGTGTCTGGATCTGCATGTGCCTGCACTCTGCAGTACAAGACTAGTCGCATTCATCGGACTGGGCTAGATAGATAGTTGACGGTCCGAAAGAACCAAACAATAATAATAAGATCCGAGGCGCTGTTTAACAGATGTACCTACCTCTGTCTCTGAATCCGAATGAATTGAGTTTGTAAATGAGCTTATTTAATGAAACCAGAATATCTGCAGTTGCTCGATGATATCTCAGTAGCTCTCCCTCTCTGGATACTAGGAAAGAAGTCCAGGAATTTACAAAACCGATGGGTCTGGATCGATGTCATGTGCAAGTCCGAAACTATTCTTAGTGGCTTTTATGGAGTATCTGGCTGGTTCAAACCTGCGTTCAGAAGGTCTAGAGCTCCATATCGGATTTCGGATACCTTGCCGATTCTGACCTGGAGCCTCTGGAGGTCTGTAACCACATCCAGAGACGCATTCTTTGTCGGTTTCTGGAAAACAGATAGCATTCAGAGGTAGGAATAAGCTAGAGACTAGAAGAGTTCGGATGAAAATAAAGATCAGGACGGACAAGATAGGATTGGAGGACGAAGTAAGGGGATAGTAGCACTTTAGGTACTAGATACTGCGTAAGAAAGGGGAAATGTCAATGCTGACGAAGTACTCCATACAGGTGGTCGTCTGATCAGAAAAAAAAAACTAGCTTGGAAGAAGCAACAAGTTAAACAACAGAGGAAAAGAAAAGAAAAGAATAGGATTTGTCCCCCACGCACCCACTTCTCCGCCATGGATGAACGGACGGACTTTCTCCTGCCTTTTATCCTGAAGCCAGGCAGTAGTAGTAGTAGTACATTATTAGTCCCTAGTCTACAGAGTCGAGTTACAGAGTGTTCTACTCCGTATGGTACCTGATCTAGTCCTCTTCCTGTAAGCCTGAAGGTAAAGCACGGTCATGTAGAAAATAACGAGGAAGATCCACTCCCTTGGATAAAGAGTCTCCCTCGTCCTGATGAGTGTTCTTGAATCAATTGATTGAGCTCTTCCTCTTCTTCTTCTTCTTCTTCTTCTTATCCTCTCTATCCTCTCTTCTGTCTCTTTCCTTCTAATACAGTAGTACAGTATACTAATCGAACTCCTCCACCCCACATCCCGCCAAATAAACCACACTCAATTACTCAACCGGTGACCTCATCGTCCTCCTTCTGCCAGACAAACCGGATCCTCCAACATAATAGGTAATAGGCAATACCTAATCGTCTTCCAACAACATCATCATAATCCAGAGCAGGAAAGGCAGCCTCTTAAGATCCTCTGCCTTATTCAGCACTCCACCCGAATATCCTCCGATCTTCAACCACCACCATCCCTCCTCCCCGCCCCCCAAGAGTCACCTATACGTCACCAAAACCAGTCTTGCTACTCTTCAAACGTTGTCCAAGGAGAGCGCCTTTCGCCCCGCGTACCACGCACCGCCACCTCTCCTCATTTGTAGATTGAGATCGACCATCTCTCTCTCGTTCTCGTTCTCTCTCTCTCTCTCTCGCATGCTCTTCGCTGTCTTATAGACCGGAGTTAGACCAGATTTGGGACTGTAAATTTTCCCACCAGTCCCGTACCTACTACAACAATTACTACTCCTCCTACTGCACCAATCCCCAGTCTCCTCAATCTCGCTTGCCATCTACCTTTCCACTGGCCACTTTAGAAAGGGAGAAGACGACAGCTCTATATATATATACATCCCTCTTCTCTTTCTACATATATAACATCAACCCACTGCAACCGACACAATGAGAAACCCTTTCGATCTGTCCGAGCTTGATAATGCCGTTGAAGAGCAACAGTCTCACTTTGATATTTCCGCCTATCAATCGCATGACGGCAACCGCTCAATACTCCAGAACGAAAGCCGCCGAGGCGACAACCTGAAAGACCGCTTCATTGGCGCCATCGATCAGGGTACTACCAGTTCACGATTTATCATCTTCGATTGCACAGGTGTTCCTGTGGCCAAATATCAGACTGAATTTCGCCAGATCCACGAGCATTCAGGGTAAGGTCCATTCTGTCTTCGCTGCTAGAGATATTTCTAGTCACTCGCTCCAGTCCGGCTGTTCTCTGCTTCGTGGATTGTGATTAACCATTCTCTTGTTTTTTTCCTTTAGATGGCACGAACACGATCCCCTCGAACTGGTGGATTCCGTTTACACATGCATTGAAGAAGCCATGAAGACCTTCCTGGCTCTAGGCCACAGCAAATCAGATATTGAAGCCATTGGGATCACCAGTCAACGAGAGACGGCACTTTGCTGGGACTGGGAAACTGGCGAACCGCTGCACAACGCGATCGCATGGCCTGATACCAGAACCAAGAATCTCGTGCGAGAGCTTAAAGGGCAAGAAGGGGCGGATGAGCTACCGGGTATCTGCGGTCTCCCTCTCTCCACATACCCTTCTTCCGTCTCATTAGTATGGCTTCTTCGCCATAGCCCCAAAGTTAGGCAGGCCTATGACGAAGGACGACTTGCTTTTGGCACTGTTGACTCATGGCTTCTGTACAACCTCAACGGCGGGCCCGAAGGTGGTCGTCATGTCACCGATGTTACCAACGCATCCAGGACGATGTTCATGAATCTCGAATCCCTGGAATATGATGAGAGACTGCTCAAGTTCTTTGATATCGACCGGAAGAAGATCAGGCTCCCCAAGATTCTTCCCTCGTCAGACCCAGATGGCTATGGATACGTCCGGTTCGGTCCTCTTGCTGGCGTGCCAATCACCAGTTGCCTGGGCGATCAGTCCGCAGCTTTGGTCGGTCACTGCGCCTTCACACCGGGCACAGCGAAGAACACATACGGTACCGGTTGCTTCCTGCTCTACAACGTCGGTGAGAAACCCGTCATCTCGAAACACGGCTTACTTGCCACCGTTGGCTTCCAGCTGGGTAAAGATCGAAAGCCGGTGTATGCTCTTGAAGGAAGTGTTGCCGTCGCCGGAAGTGGTATCTCCTTCCTCATGAACAACCTCGGATTCTTCCGTGATTCGCGCAAAGTCAGTGATCTTGCGGCAACTGTTCCCGACAGTGGAGGTTGCGTCTTTGTCACTGCCTTCAGTGGTCTGTTCGCCCCCTACTGGATCGATGATGCCAAGGGAACCATCTGTAAGTCCCATGAACGCATTCTACCCTTTTGACCAAGTCGTAATGCTAACATCACCGAAGTTGGCATCACGCAACACACACAGCGCGGACACATTGCTCGCGCGACCATGGAAGCGGCCTGCTTCCAGACAAAGGCCATTCTCGATGCCATGGCAATGGACAGTGGGCACAAATTGTCGGAATTGGCCGTGGACGGCGGTATGAGTAATTCCGACATTTGCATGCAGGTACGTCTTTGAAAAATAAGAAAGCTTTCCGCATCACGATGCTAGTGAAACTGACATTTTGCTACTCGTATAGACACAAGCCGACATCATCCAAATCCCTGTCGAACGCCCCGCCATGCACGAAACTACCGCGCTGGGCGCCGCCATCGCAGCAGGGTTCGCCATCGACGTCTGGAAGGAATTCAATGAGCTCAAGGACATGAACCGCGCCAACCGCACAACCTTCACACCCCGCATCTCGCCCGTGCAGAGCGCACGGATGTACAAGCAGTGGTCCAAGGCCGTCGAGATGTCCCGGGGCTGGCTGGACACGAGCGAGATCGAGTCCGAGGGCCAAGAGTGACGATATCTATCCCTATATATATACATATATATATATCTTGTGATGATTGTGTGCGATGTACTTGCGATTGAGCGTTTCCGTTTTCGTCTTCTTGGGGTTATGGCATCGTGGCATCTTTCTTGGTCAGTGGTCAATAGGTCCATTTCTATGGTGGAGGTCTAGGTCTCTTCTTGGATACCCGCTATCATCAGTACATACTCCCACACTACACCTATATACTCCGTATATCTACGGATAGCTCTATATACATACCATTCAAAACAGATTTGTGCAGTCTCGTCTCTGCTTCTTGGTTGTAGTGTGCTGGTCAGACAATTTAGTTTTCAGGCAAGATGTAATTCCTACGAGCAGATATCCAAAAGCCCAACTTTCCACAATTTCATTGATATCAGATGAATATGTTATATGTATGTGCAATACAGTACATTGATCGCTCATCCTTCGAACCGATGTGCCACACCTCATATGCAACAACTGTTATTTTGAGACTTCATATCAAAAAGACGAGAAGCATCGAAAAAGTCAGAAACGCGACCGAGGAAAGAAGAAAAATACAGCAAGGAAATAGAGTGATCGAGATATGGAGAACACAGAATTCGTCGAGAATGCGACGCCTGATTTTCGGTAGAGGGGAGTTAGTGATGGAAGAGATGAAGAGTACATTTATTCGGCGGCGGCCGAGGGTTCCTCGGCCTGGGTGGATGGATGATTCAATTTTGCGGTCTGCAGAGCATCGGGCAGCTTGAGCGGAGCCGACGGTACCGACTCCATCTTGTCCAGCTTCTCGCCTCTCAGAACCTTCTCCATCTCCTCCTTCGTCAGTGTCTCGTACTCGATCAGTGCCTTGGTCAGGAGTTCCAGTTCGTGTCTCCGTTCAGTCAGAATCTTGGTGGCACGCAGCCGCGCTTCCTCGACCAGTCGTCGCACTTCGGCTTCGATCTCCTGCTTGGTTTCAGATGATAGACTATCATAGTTGGTCGACAAATCGACATTGCCAAGTTTCTTCGAGTAGCCGAATCGGGTGATCAGTGTGAATGCGGTTTCAGTGGCTTGTTGAATATCCTGCAGAGAACATTAGTGACCGTTGAAAATACTTTCGAAAACCCGAAAATAGAACTTACCGCCGAAATACCACTTGTGACCTTGTCAGGACCGAAAATCAGCTCCTCGGCTGCTTTCCCGCCCATGGAGACGTCGATATCGGACAGGTACTCGGTGTAGTTCCGGGAAACCATATCCATCTCAGGCAGGAAGTGCGTCACTCCCAGCGCCATTCCGCGGGGAACAATGGTTATCTTGTACAATGGCGTAGACGAAGGAGAGAAATAAGCGACGAGAGCATGACCGGCCTCATGGTAGGCAGTCAGAAGCTTGTCCTTATCCTGGATGATCCTGCTGCGAGCCTCTGCGCCCATCATAATCTTGTCCTTGGCCCAATCGAGATCCTTGGGTCCAACCTTGGGCTTCTTGTTTCTGCTAGCGTAGATGGCGGCCTGGTTGACAAGATTCTCCAGGTCGGCACCAGAAAAGCCAGGAGTACCGCGCGCAAGTACTGCAACGTCGACATCGGTGCTAATCTGGATGTTCTTCAAGTGATGCTTCAAGATGTCCATCCGACCCCGAACATCCGGAAGTCCGACGACCACCTTGCGATCGAATCTGCCTGGTCGTGTCAAAGCCTTGTCAAGCAGCTGGGGAAAATTAGTTGCGGCGATGATGATGACTCCACTAGTCTGCGAGAATCCGTCGAGCTCCGTAAGCAGCTGGTTCAAAGTCTGCTTCACATAAGCCGCATCTCTCTCATTTCGCTTGGCACCAATGGCGTCCAACTCGTCAATGAAGATGATGGCGGGCGACTTGTTCCGGGCTTGTGCAAAGAGCTCACGAACACGCTTGGCGCCGACACCCACATACACCTCATCGAATTCGGAACCAGACATGTAGAAGAAGGGAACACCAGCTTCTCCAGCGACAGCACGGGCGAGCAGGGTCTTTCCTGTACCAGGAGGTCCCACGAGAAGCACACCCTTTGGCAATTTGCCGCCAAGCGAAGAGAATCGGTCCGGGTTCAACAAAAATTCGACAAGTTCCTGGAGCTCTTCCTTGGCCTCATCGCATCCGTGTACATCGGAGAATCGAACCGTCTGTTGTTGGGGTTGAGCCTCATTGCTCTGCGGACCCTTGATATTCTTTAGGACGCCAGTTGTTTCGACAAGAATGGTGATCATGACGAGAGAGATGTAAGTGAAGAAGCCGAAATAGAGCAGAAACTTGACCCATCGAAAGACAGCGCTGCCCAGCGACTCCTCGACAACCACATACAGGGGAGCCTCCTTAGCCCCAGTACCGGTTTGCTTCGTCGCCAGTCCGATCTGGCTACCATGATTCCGTGCGGCGACGGCTTGACCGATGGCCTGCAGCTGCTCAGGGTTGAGATTCTGGTTCTGGCCTGGGATGGGTGGTGCCGCTGCGGAATCGGCGCCACCGACACGCTGCAACGCTTTCAGATAAATAGCTTCAGACAATGAGTTACTTGCAAAGTGACCGCTGCGGTATCTTTCGACAACGATAGCTGGCATGTTCGCTCGGAGCAGAGCCTGGTAGAAAGCGTTCTGTGCGTTGACACTGCTTGGGTTGTTGTTCGCGGTCTTCTCCTTCTGCGCTAACAAACTGTGAGATGGGCCTCCAAACATGAACCGCTGTTGTTGGAGCCTCGAAAGACCGTCAGGCTTCGCAGCCTGGCGAGACCGATTCAGGGCGGCGGGTAGCGTGGAATATGATCGAGCGAAATGGGACGCATGAGGACGGCGGGATACAGTCGCAGAACTCCAGAGCGAATCTTTCATGGCACAAGTTAATATCCCGATATGCATGGAGGACGATAAAATCAGCGTACCTCTTAGAAAAGTCCGAGACAACCCATATTGCACAGGTCGCTGCATGACGTTCGAGTTCAAAGCCTCAAGGGATACTGTGTCCAGGCACTCAGGCAGCGGAATCCGGCCAGTTACCTAGCTTATTGTCAATATAAATCACTCAGGAAACACTTATGAGCACAATAGAAGCATACACTTGATTCGGTTCGCCCAAGCGTCCGCTGGGGCAGTCGTTGGGTTGTAGGAGATCCGGAGGTGGCCGAGCGTTCGATGCTAGTCCAAGGCGCATTTAATAGCTTTGACATCGAAGGCCAGAGATCGGACGTGACGGTCGCAAAGTTCTGTGAAGAGGCGGAAGTCAGAATAGATGCCATAAGAGGCATAAGGAACTGTAGGAACTCTTACAGGTCTTGAGACCGGGAGTTGGAAAGCCATAGTTGTCCGGAGTTAGAGCGGCACTAGGCCGCAGCAATCAATGTTGATCGCACGAAGAGTGGTAGGTAAGAAGACGGTATAGATAATAGCTTATTCTTTGATCGGGATGAGTGCCATCGCAATGAATTTCAAACGATGGCGAATGCGAGCTAAGATGAGGGATGAGTAGTTCGTACTCCGCATGTCGGCCAAGTGATGCGGCGGCGAAATTCGTGTGGATATTGCCACTGCGGCCTGAATGGGCTACCGTAGCTTGCTTCAGTCATGTGACTTTATGCCTCAGGCAGCAAGGCTGTGTTCTCTTGCTTATTTCCAACTTCCATCAATTCTCATTTCTCGGGGCAATGGCAATAGACTAGGTATTATGTTGTCTTCTGACTCACATTATTATTGACATTGCTGTCGGAGTAATCTAAGTGGTTGATTGTCGTTGCCAAACTAGTTAACCGTATGTTGAGCGTTGTACAACACGGTCGATCGTCTGCCATCCGTGGTTCTGATCTGTCAGACTTCGCCATGACTGCATTTCCTGCTGTGCGGTGATGGAACATTGCTTTTGGACATATCATGTTATTTCGTCTTTCTGAGGGGACTAGGCTCGAAGCCACAGCAGCAGTTCCCTACAAGCTATTTCCAAAGATATTATATATACTGTGTGGGAAAGCCATGCCCATTGATTATCTGCTTGAAGCACTTCCCTCATATGGGCACTACTAGCAATGTCGACCAAACTCATTTTCCTCATGGGTGCTCCCACGCAGCAGAGCCTCTGCTGGGATGAGGATGGGTTGTTCGACAGCCCTATATTTCCATTTTCTGGTCCAGATGTTCAAGATCAAGTGAATCGGCCTGTCCCAGAACCTCATGCTGTTAAATGGAGGCTATTACAGGATCTGAAGATTCAAGAGCAAGAACGAGAAAACGCCTTGTTCGAACCAGGCAGACATGCTATATTTTTGAGAACTCAAGATCTCACGCCCTTAAATGGCGTATCATCAATTTCGCCAGATGACTCGGCAATCTCTCAATTCTACGACCATTCCTTTGCGGTGCACGAGACGTCTGAGATCTCTGTACCTGGAGCGCACCTGGGAGACTCGATGCAGGAGAGTGGCTTGTGGGCAGACAGTACAGGAACATCCGTTGCAACGACCAGTGACAGAGAGGCGCCAGAAGTGGGTTCTCTACCGATCCAAGGGTACCTCAGTGACCTGAAGGATATTCCCAGCGCCACATATCTACAATCGATTGTGCCTCAGACAATGACGGTAAACCTGATTGTCGGCATCATCGCAATTCATCATCCACGCCGCATAGTGACCCGGCAGTGGAAAAGGGAGCTGGATCTCGTTGAAGTGGTGGTGGGCGACGAGACAAGAACAGGATTCGGGGTTACCTTCTGGCTGCCCCCGGGAGATAAAACAAATGCCACTGGCCGATGTGACATCGAGGCTCAAAAGCTTCGAACGTCTTTGTCCAGTCTTTGGCCTCGAGACATTGTTCTCCTGCGCATGGTAGGATTGAGCGCATTCCGAGGACGGGTATATGGGCAGAGTGTGGGCAGGGGGGTTACAAAGGTCGACTTGTTGCACCGCCAGCGGATTGACGCAACGGATGCAGGAGGAATCTACAGTGCAAGGTGCCTCCAAACCTCCAAAGACGATGAAGCCAAGAATGATGATCTGCCATTGATGAAGGTGTGCAAAGTGCGGGAGTGGATCCGGCTGTTTGTAGACACTGCACCGGATCGAGTAGGCGGTGGGCCTCAAGCCTCAAGGAAACGTGGGCAGCCTTTGCCTCCAGACACCCAGGATTAATGGGCTTGGAAATGTTTTGTCAATTGATAAACCTGAAGGACTGAAAGATCTGAAATAGTGAATGAAGGACCAAGTCAGAGCCTCCATCACATGGTTGACAACAGGAAGTCAACCCAACACCAATAACGATATGTGGCTATCCCTACCTAGGTACGGAATAACAGGGGTATCTTAACATGTAACGATGGTAATTAACTAATACGAAGCCTGTAGTGTTGTAGATAGTATCGAGTTAGGGAAAGATCCTCAAGAAAGGAGCTTAAAATGAAGGAAGGGGTTGCATGTAACCCAAGAAGCATCAACTGGTCTACTCCGTAGTCCGTACTTTGTTCAGGGGCGTCCATATTCCCCAGGTGCCTTGCCCGATGCGGCTACCCCAATCATTGCAGTCCCTAATCAATTTGTTATACTCATACACTGAGAGTTCAAGACATATGCAAATGTGATGAAAAGTAGAAATCTCATATTGATTCTGTTCAGAGTCAGACTGTATCTACTCATTATTATTAACGTCGTTGTTTCAAACCATATGGAACAGTCATTGAGTCCTACCTAGATATGCAATATCCTATTAATATAAACCAAATATATCAAGGGGCATTGGGGGGCCCCACCTAGCACCTGATCCAGTGGTTCTGGGCCTGTTCCTAAGTAAGAGGAGTTACTTATTATTATCCCCCTTTTAAACTTGCCAGTCTTAAGAGTCAAGATAATAGAGAGGTATCCATACAGAGTACTGCCAGTGGCGTTCTCGCTGAAAACGTGCAACTCCCAGGAAGTCCTTACCGGCTGTTCAAGGTAAGTGGCATTGATTCATGTGGAATTGCCAATTCATGGGTCAAAGTAAGGTACGTACTGTTCCATAAGCCATGCCTTAGTGGTTCCATACATTGACCATCCAGTCATAGTAGTAGTAGTAGTGCTGTCGTAGTAGTGCTAGAGTACTTTTTAGTGCCTCTGCTCACAATCGGGAAAATCATGTTATGCTATCTATCCTTATTAAGGAAGAAACAACGCCAGGTGTTCGTTTCTGCGACTTGAGCTTCTGCTTCTCGATCCTTTTTTGACTTCTCTACCTATCTTCGATCTTTTCGACCCGTACAGCAATCTCAAGAACCGGCATTGATTCGGTTCTTAATTGTCGTCGACTTTGCTTCTAACATTCTTTGCCTGCGGGACCTCCTTTTTCCTTTTTCTCTTTTCCCTCAACAACCCCTCGTCCTCTCCTGACACTCGTTGCAAAACATATACCTCCTCTACCAGCTTCTAATACTTCTTCGTTGATCTATCTTCCTTGCATTATCTAATCAATCATCATCATGAAGGGTAGGAATTTGTCCATCTGCAATCCAGTGTCAATGCGTTACTCTAGATTAACTCTTCGATTGTAGCTCTCATTCTTGTCGGAGGGTTCGGTACCCGTCTGCGCCCTTTGGTGAGCATTCCTCCCCCCGCAGTTGAAGCTCGTGGCATGAAGCACAGCTCTTGATTTCTCCTGGATCTCTAAGTCATCAAATTGATGCTAACATAATTGTCTTTCAATGCTAGACTCTGACCCTTCCCAAACCCCTGGTGGAATTTGGAAACCGCCCGATGATTCTTCACCAGGTCGAGAGCTTGGCTGCTGCTGGTGTCACAGATATTGTTCTGGCCGTCAACTACCGCCCGGATGTCATGGTCGCGGCCCTCAAGAAGGTACACCGATCTCTTTTCTTCCCCCCCAGCTTGACACACGTTCCTGCGGCTAATTGTGGTATTCGTCTACAGTATGAGGAACAGTACAACGTCAGAATCGAGTTCTCCGTCGAGTCCGAACCCCTCGGTACCGCCGGTCCCCTGAAGTTGGCAGAGAAGATTTTGGGCAAGGACGACTCTCCCTTCTTCGTCCTCAACTCCGATATCATCTGTGATTACCCCTTCAAGCAGCTCGCAGAGTTCCACAAGAAACATGGCGACGAGGGCACCATTGTTGTTACCAAGGTCGACGAGCCCTCGAAGTACGGTGTCGTGGTTCACAAGCCCAACCACCCCTCTCGCATTGATCGTTTCGTCGAAAAGCCAGTCGAGTTCGTGGGTAACCGCATTAACGCCGGTATCTACATCCTCAACCCCAGTGTACTCAAGCGCATTGAACTTCGTCCCACCTCCATCGAGCAGGAGACATTCCCCGCCATCTGCAGTGACGGCCAGCTCCACTCCTTTGACCTCGAGGGTTTCTGGATGGATGTCGGTCAGCCCAAAGATTTCCTGACTGGCACCTGCCTCTACCTCACCTCGCTCGCGAAGCGTAACTCCAAGCTGCTGGCTCCCAACAGCGAGCCCTTCGTCTATGGCGGCAACGTCATGGTTGACCCCTCGGCCAAGATCGGCAAGAACTGTCGCATTGGCCCCAATGTAGTCATTGGTCCCAACGTTGTGGTCGGTGATGGTGTGCGTCTGCAACGCTGTGTGCTCCTGGAGAACAGCAAGGTCAAGGACCACGCCTGGATCAAGTCGACCATTGTCGGCTGGAACAGCTCTGTTGGCAAGTGGGCTCGCTTGGAGAATGTCACGGTCTTGGGTGACGATGTCACCATTGCAGACGAGGTGTATGTCAATGGCGGCTCTATTCTGCCTCACAAGAGCATCAAGCAGAACATCGATGGTATGTTTCCTCTCTCGCCTTGTACGGACGTTACGAATCGCAAAAACTAACGCAATGCACAGTTCCCGCCATTATCATGTGATTTCCTCCTTCTAATGCCGACATGTCCTAATTTACCTCGATCTCGATTGATTCTACCTACCTCGCAATCACCCAGATGCATATAACCGGAGTCGTTATTGTGGTTGTCATTTTTCTTCACTTCTATTCAAGCGTTACTGAAGCTTGGCTCATCGGTCGGCTGAGTCTGGTGCAAGTCTTTGGGTACAATGCTTTTCGCCTCTTCTCCACTCAGCTTTTCCTCGCACCAGGCACACAGCAGTGCAGCAACCTTTACGTCTTCTTTTGTTTCCTCCGTACCCGTAGCTCAGCACCTCCCATAGCCTTGACGGTGAAGGCATGCCTACGCGACGGGCTCTTCTTCTTCTTCTTTCTTTCTTTCTTTCTTTTTTTTTTTTTTTGTTAGAGCCTTTTAGTCGTCTTTCCCCTCGCCTGACTTTCATCCTCGCCGGTTTCTGCCAACCTGAAAAGCAGCCGCGTTCGATGATATAATCTTCCCAGTTCGCCCAGCTCGAAGCTGTTTCTTGTTGTGTTTCTCTTCTTGTCGATTATTTGCTTCACGTTCTCTTCCTCGCTCCGCTTGTGCTTTCTTGGGGGTGGTGGGCAAAAGGAATAATACTACACCTGATTTAATGATAAACGTGGACATGGGGTTTCTTGGAATGTAAATAGTGAAGGCAGATATAAAGGTGATCATCGTTCCGAAGTATGTCCGAGTCTGCATTATTATCGATACAGAGTAAGGCCCTATTGACGACAACGGGTAAGTCTCAGAATAACCACGCTGAGTGGTGTGGATGTACAATTACACATTAAGCAAGCTATAGAGCTGGAAAAGTACAGGATTTGAGGAAGAAGAGGAAGAAGAAGAGGAAAGCCCTATGGAATAGGCTAGAATGCTGGTCAGGCCTTGGATCCAGCCTGGGCCTCAGCCTCGTCAAGAAGTCCGTCCCACTGAATCCTCAATTCTTCCATGCGCTGCCAGCATTTCCTGCCCAGATCTTCATACTGCTCTCTCTCTTCCGCAGTGAGGTCCGTCGCGCCCCTCTTCCGGCGACGAGACCGGTCGCTGTCCACGACGGCCGGCCCAACCACGCCACCATACCCCCACCCATCGACTTCGGTGGACGCCGGCCGGTCCTGGCCGAGACTGTTACACGAGGAGCCCCATTTCGCTCTCCCCCCGCCGTTGCGCAGGTACGGCGCTTCGGCGTCGTCGAGGACGGCCTGAGCGGATAGGGCGAGCCAGACGGGGGCACAGGCGCCCGCGTAGGTGGAGATCGTGTGCCAGGGGGACCCGAGGAGGCGGGCTAGCCAGAATGCCGCGAGCATTGAGTAGAAGAGGGGCCAGGAAAGCGGGAGGATGCCCGTGCCGCAGATGCCGGGGTGGGAGAGGTACATGTTTGGGTGCGGGTGCGGGTGTTCTTGTTCTTGTTGGTGGTCTTGGTGGTGCTCCGGTTGCTTGTCGACCGAGTAGAAGCTCTTAACCCAGGGCGCTGTGCTGGGGAGATTCGACGTCAGAGCCAGGATGTCGGTTAACGCCTTTGAGGACTCGTAGGGGGCCAGGGTCCGGAGGCCCTGGATGTCGTCGATGTCGAGGTGCTTCGCCGTCGCTTCGAGACTGGAGACCCAGATGACGCGGCCGGGCCCGTGGTGCTGGCCAGACCGTCGCAGCAGCGGCATGACATTGTGTGCTAGCATGTAGTGGCCGAAGACGTTGGCGCAGAAGACCGCGCCGAGACGCGGTTCCTTGTCGTCGCCCAGTGCGGTCTGCGGATCCGTTACCATTCCCGCGGGCGCGATCTTGAACGACGGCCAGGAGACTTCGTGCACCAGGTCTGTCATAACGCCCCAGATCGCCTTGGGCCAGTTGATGCCCGTCCATCCGCCGAGGCCGGCGTTCAGCACGATCGCATCGAGTTTGGGGAGGGTCTGGTTCAGTCGGCGGGAGAGGGCGCGGACGGAGACGAGGTTCGACAGGTCGACGTTCTCGGGGACAAAGGTGACTCTCGATGATGCTGCGGCGGAAGCAGAGACAGAGGCAGAGGCGCCGCGAAGGTGATCCTGTAGGCGGAGGAGAGTGTCATTTCCCTTCTTGGTGCTCCGGGTGGTGAAAATGACGGTCAGAGACTGGTGAGGATGTCGGTGAGATTTCAAGAATTCATCCACCAGTCGACAGCAGATTGAGAAACCAAGGCCACTGTAACGAGAGAATTGCAACCAAGGGGAGGAACAATACGTCAGGAAACGATGAACCACGGGCACGCGATGGGAAAGTCACCCCCTGGGAAGGATGCGGAGAAATGTACAATACCTGTTGGCACCGGTTACCAAGACAAAGACCTTGTCTTGCAGGTCATTCTCGGAACCCCTGTCAGACATGTAGTCTGATCCTCTAAGCGCGAGTATTTCTGCGATGGCGGTTTGTCAATTGCGTACTGTAGTGGCCGATGTGATTATCAAACCTGCCTTCTTCAAAGATAAACGATAGAAAATTGTTTATCGCTGGTCTCCCGCTCAACGAGATCATGTGATAGCGATCCATTTGGGCTGTCGGTCTTCACCTTCACTTTCTGTTTCATGATCACTCAAATGCAAATAATCGTACATTCATATCCCAGTTCGCAAGGATCATTCATTACACTTTGTATATGAACATAGCTGAGGACTCTACGCGGAGCGCATGTCCAAAAGTCCACAGTGCATCGCAAGCATGAGCTCGACAAAACCACAAATCCAGCAAACTTCTGCGCTGGCACCGGGCTACGCCTAATTTTGAGGGACGAATCATGGTAAATGTAAGTCAGGTGGACAAACGAAAAGGCTTCCTATCCCGTTGTGGCATCCTATCTTCCAGTGTGTCACGAGCAACTCGAAGCAGGGAGTGCAGCCATGGCGTTCTATGCCAATTACCATTGATTGCATCAATTGGTTGAAAAACGGGTCTGTCGCATGAGCATACCTCAACTCGATCCATCGAGGTCAGCATAAGTAAACAACGTGACAATGTCTGGACTCACTCGATGGACGCTTGATCTTGAGAGACCCTGGAAAACTCGTATTTGGCAGCCTCAATATAAGCAAGAACCAACCAGAACTTGCTACGCATCCCTAACGCACCGTTGTGCTCACGACATAATAACGATGCAATTAACATTTTCGACTCGCTTCTAACATCTGCGGATAATACCTCAATCCATGGACTCATAGAGGGGCTGGAATGCTGCGTCGTCTCAACGATGCGCAAGGATGTGAATCCCTGTTCTGTACTCGGTGAGTACAGTTGATATGCGACGTTTTGCACGTTTCGTCTCAATCAGGAATCACCGTCTGTTTCCCAGATTTTCGGCTCATAAGGTATGAGATCATTTCTCATAAAACGAAGAGGGTTTGCGGCCATTGGGCATATGCGCAGAGTTGCATTGAAGCAATACAGTGTACCAAGCGGCCGTCGAATGAAAGCGAACGGGACGGCTCTTCCGAGGTCCCTATCATTGAATTGCTTGTGAAGCCATGTTTATTGAATCGAACCGATCTGGTCCTTAATAGTGTAAGCCATGGTAGTTCCCCCTGTCAAGTGGCAAGACGGCGATGCGATATAGTTAAGGTGACATCGTCCAGGACCTGCATGCATAAATTTAGAAATTTCCATCAATCGGTCAGCCCAATGTGGTAGCGTCTTGGTTCAACGGGTAAATTGGATGATCTCCGGATGGCGAGGGAAAGAAAAATCCGTCGAGATCCCAGGGCAATGCGGCCGTTTTACCAGAGTAGGAAATGGTGCGACGTCGAGCAGGGGGATGTATAGGGTATGATATCATGTTCTGCATTTCTCTCGCACCAGTCAGTTCAAGCAATTGATGCGAAGGATCATCAGGTTTGAGCCAAAATGAAAAAAATTTCTTCTCGCCATCCCGTGACAGTACAACTACAATCAATGTCAAACCTTAGGATAAATGCGAGCCCTCAAATCAACTGTTATGCTTACTTCAAATTGATTGTGGACTGCGGTGACCAAGGTTCTAGCCAAATCCTTTGCGCTATCAAGGATTGTCATCAATCCCAGTCTCTGTTCAGTGCTGAGGACGACAAGGCCTCGGAAGTAGATCCCGTGTTGCGGTTGAATAAAGCGATTGAGTCGATCAAAGCTTGGATGAGGCTAGACATGGTGATTTGAATGAAGAGAACGAGCGAGGAGACGACGAAGAAGGTACTTAGGAGCAGTGGTAGTGTGAGAGATGGAACACCTAACCTGCTGCCACAGTCTGTTCAACCACGATCGAGTCGAATCGGATGATAGCCATCCGCATTCCGTTCGATATCTGTCATATTAGAACCCCCGTGTTCGAGATATTAAGAGCAAGCCCATGAGAAGGCTAGAGAAGATCAGGTGGCCCCCTGGGATCCGACAGATTGGAAGCGAAGCGTATTGTAAAACACAACACAGTCGTATTCCACAAGAATTCCTCGTCAGCATCAGGACCTTTGCTACGGAAGCTCGAGTACTTCTTCCAAATATGGGCTCTTAGTAACGAGATACTGCTGATCCTGATGGCGATGTACGCAGTACGCTACCTGTCCTCATCCCTTTTGAGTTTTCGTTTTCCAACTGAGATTCAGCCACCAACAGGACAAGTATGATGTCTATTGGAGAAGAGATACCTTCGCGGCAAAGGAGTGGACAGCAGACACATTAACAACATGTGGCGCTGTTGATGTGACCAACATGGCTGAAATATATTTTCAGCCTCAATCAGCTTTCTTGGAAGTCTTGAACTCCCAATGGCGCTTCCACCATTCCATACTGGTCCGACCGCCGAAATTGGAGGATAATCATCGCCTTTTCAATCGATATCTTCAGAGGGACTTGTCGCTGCCAATGCCTGCAAGGGGGCCAAGATTCCTTCGAATCGGCGGATTCGCTAACTGGATAGATTGTGCTCGCTTATCCAGACGCCTCACCGACACTTGGAGAAATGTTCCGAACATA